CTTAATGTCCAAAAGTCTTAATGAAAGCGAGACAATGGTTATTTTTGGCAGGGGACACTGCATGAAATGTGGTATGTTCTCTAGGAAACTGCCATTTCCTAAACTCGAAAACATAAAAAGAAAACGTAGACTTTAAAGGATCTGAGATTCACTGTGGTCAACTGAGCAAAGACCTCTGCTCAGTGCCCAGCTGCCGAAGTGTATGAAGGGGGAAGGATGGGTACAGGGTTTACAGGAGTGTGCACCAGGGGCTCGTGTGGGGTTGAGGGAACTTGTGTTTTTTGGAGGGACTGGAAGACTATGTCACCAAAAAGAATATATGTAATCTTTTATGCCTATTTTAAATCCAGTGGAGAAAGAGATGTATTGTCAAAAGATGTTCAAAAGCATATAGAGCTCCAGTGTTCCTGGCACGCTACAGCCCAATGATGACTAAAGTTGAGGGCAAAAAAGCTCGTTTTATCTCAGGCCCAGAAACACGAGGAAAGGCGTCAAGGTGTATTTCCTTTGGAAGACATTTCTGCCTTCAAATGGAAGACAAGACTAGGACAATTTCACTGTCTTTAAAAAGATATATCTCTCCGGCTACTGTTAAAGCTTTAATAAACTAACTTCTCAGGATTTAATAAAAAGAGCTCCTGAAACAGTTTTTACCCTGTATGAAGCATCCTTTAAAAAATCCAAGTGTCCTGGAGTGGGTATCTCCAGATTTCCTATGACAATACACAGGCACATTCTTCCAGACACACTGTCAAAGTCAGCCTCTGGAAAAGCACAGAAATGCCTGCTGGAAGCACACATAGCATTAAATCTAACAGGCTAGGAAATAGTGTTTTGACTGAGAAACAGATTTTTACATGCTTTCATGTCATATCCCGCTACAAATACTCACCGCCTATGATAAGGAGGCCATAAAGATCTGTGAGGGATCGCTTTGTTCATATGTTCACAGCATGTGATTGAGCATAACTATGAATGTGCTTGGAGGACAAAAATGTTATTTTAAGATTAAAACTGATTAGCTCCCCTGACTGTATCAGAGCAGAATAATAATAATTTTCATGGCGCCCATCAAATGGAAATAAACATTAACCTAAAAAATCTGAAGAAAAATAAATCAAAAACATATTTTTAAATCTTTTCATAAGGGAAATAATAAATTGCTATTTGAACTGTAACTTGACACGTCAAAAATCCCGTATCATCTACTTTGATGGCATATTCTATGATGTATAGTCTGCAATTCACATCATATCACACATACAATGAAACAATTTGGAATACTCCAGCTTCAGACAAGATTAATAAAAGTGGCAGCTCTGAAGGAAGAGACATTGTATAGAACATACTATTTGCTAATGTTTGGGAAACATAAAACATTTTAAGAGAAGGACAATATTCTGAAAGAACATAGCCCATAATCCAAGGCATGAGGATTAGTTGTAAAAATTTTGGGGAGTGTTCATGATATAGGCATTTCAGTGGTATTAATGCAGGGGAAGAAGAAGAAATAAAACATGGTGTGGAACCTCTGACTGCTGCTTCTAGAATAAAGAGTTAGTTTTGATGCACTTAAAAAAAAGCCTGGGATTTCACTTTTTAATTTTAGACCTAATTTCCAGGTTCTAAAGAGCCAAAACTATGCTGACATGAATGCCAGTTTCCAGGTCTTTGCTGAACACCAGGAAGCATTCTGGGAATAAAACTAAACTGGAAAATGCTGCATGGTGGCTGGTATTCAGGTAATCCATCCCAGATGCCATGTCAGACAGGTGTCTTGAAGTCCTTGTGGGAAGTATAACTAATTCTAGGTATTCTGTCAACACAAAGGTGGGGTACAGAAGGAAAAGCATGGAGAGATGAACCCTCACCTAAAAATGAACTGGAAAAAAACCCTGCCAAAATCTTAAAAAAAATAACTGTCATGCTACAAAGAAAAGGGACTGCACACAAAATCTATGGGCTGGTAAAGCAAAAACCTTTACTTCCATATGGATATAGATGTCTGCAGAGTAGTATGTAAGCCAAAAGGTTATCTAGCTGCAAACACTACTGCCCAATTTTAAACTGCCAGGCACAAAAAATTTGCACAAAGCTGTGAAAAACTCTTCTTTATGAAAATGTAGAACAGTATTAAAGCTGCTAATGCAAAATTTTAATATTAAAAATTTTCTTATAATATAACTTCCTGAAATAGCTCATCCTGTATCAGATTATTATTCTGTAAATCTGTATTAGGTTATAATATAATTGTTGGTCTATTTGGTAGTTCACATCTCTGTCTACCAAAAAGCAAACCAAATGTCCACTGCCAGAATGTACTGAAGCATGTAGAAAAGAGAACAAATAATGGGAAAGCATAAAAGAACAGTCTAGGCCATTGTGTGATGACACAAATGACATCTTCCCACGGATGCCAGAAGCAATCCGCTGCCATTTGACCAGGCAGAGGTATTCCTTCTGGGACTACTCAGAACACGATTTTCATCTCATTGTTTCCACTCCAGTTCCTATTCCATATAAACAAACGCAAAAATATTTGCAATAGTATATGCTGTGAGATTGTCTAGTTTTATTTATAGATCATATTGCTTTTTTAACCGTACCACTGACATGTCTGTTATTGTTTCATTAATTTGATCTTTAAACATTATGGAATTATCTTGGCCATAGCTGAACAGTCTAAGTCTGTAGACATTTCTTTATATAAATATAAATATATATGCATGCCTAAGTGTATATTTATATATCCGTATGTACACACATATTTTAAAAAACAAAACACACCCAAAAGGTTCAGCCAAATTAGGGTAAGTTATTAATTTGACATAGAGTGTTTACTTGGACAGCTGGATTTTATAGTTTACTGGATGGATGTGGTATCAGATGTTCCAAAATAAGACAAATTTCCACCTATCCATGTACTTTAAAATGTCATTAAACCTCAGAAAATAGTAATGGGGTAAGACATATTAGATTTGTTTATCCCTCAAAGTCATTTTGCTTCTTTTTTGTTGTAGAATGAAAGCAGACTTACCCATGTGAGCACACTGCATGATCTCAAAATGTACATAGTCTGCTCACTTTTTTTGTTGATTCATTTAAAATCTCTGGTTTATACTGAAATAATGCACCACATTATGCAACTGCCTCCAACTATCTTAAGGTACTGCACTCACATGTGAAAGCATGGTGATAGCCCGACACAAATCTGCTCTATTTCTACTAAAATCATTATCTTCATTCTATAGCTATGTCCACCTCTCAGTAATAGCATAACTCTGTTCCTCAAAGCAGGTAACCTAGTTGAGGTCCTCTCTCCTTGCATGGCCTTTCTAGCTCACCTGCACCTCTCCTCCAGTCTTAGCCAGTTAAGCTGGGGCACCTCTTGTCTCCTC